GCCATGCAAACTCACACTGTACAGTGGGAAAAGAGGACCTGTAAGATCAGTACTGGCCTGAGGAACATACTCTGCTGGAATACACAGGAAATTTCTCCTCTTTTTTCTCCATTATGGGCACATGTTTTGATTTTTCACTATGTTTTTCTTTTGGTGGATGTTGGAGTTTACCACCCATTCTCTCGTTCTTGGCTTTCAATATTATTTTGTTTTATTTGTCTGATAGACCTTCCTTTTATTCTCTCTCTTCACCTTCTTTTCTCTTTCTTTCAACCTGTTCACTTAGTGTTCTTTCTTTCTTTCCCTCTATTTTAATCTCCACTTCCTATTATTTGTCCTTTCGTAGGTGATTGTTAGTTACTGTTATCTGATACCACTAATTTCCCTTTACTACTTAACAGGTTCTTCTGCATCAGTCTTAACCACATTCTTCACATTTAGCATTGCTTTATTTTTCATAATCTATTTTCTTTCTTTTTTCCATTAAATTTATTAGTACATTTTAGGTATACACTACAGTTACATTCATCATTGGGACCTTGCCTCACACTACCATACCCATACCATTTACTTTTATGAATCTATAGTTAGTTAGCTATATCTCACTATTGCTGAATACTGCTCAGAAATCAATACAAATAACAAACTCACTGAGAGAGAAATCAGGGAGACAACAAGTTTCACAATAGCTTCAAGAAAAGTGAAATATTTAGGAATCAATGTAACAAAGGAAGTGAAAAACCTATATACTGAAAACTATAGTACTCTGAACAAGGAGATCAAAGACAACATCAGAAAATGGAAAGATATTGTTGGATAGGTAGAACAATATGGCCATACTTTCAAAACTGTTTACAGATTTAATGCAATCCCTATGAAATCCCAACAGCATACCTCACAGAACTAGAGAAAAAAATCCTAAAATTCATATACAGCTGGAAGATTCTTAGAATAACAAAAGCAACTCTGGGCAACAAAGGCAAGCCAGGGGCCCTCACAATCCTTGACTTGAAATTATACTACTAAGCTACCATGTTACAAACAGCATGACACTGGCAAAAAGCAGACCCGAGGAGTGATTCAACAGAATAAAAAATGCAGAAACGACTCCAAGCACACACAGCTGCCTTACCTTCAGAAGAGGGCCAAACACTTTCACTAGAACAACAAAGGTAGACTCTTTAGAAAATGGTACTGGAAAAATCACCTTTCTACATGCTGAAGATTAAACCTAGACCAATGTCTCTCACCATGTACTAAACTAAAAAATGGATCAAAGATCTAAATGTTAAAACAAACAATCTGTGAGAAGATAGAATAGGGAAACTGCTTGAAGACATAGGTGTAGGCAAAGACTTTATGAACAAAAGCACAATCATACAGGAAATATTATAATCAACAACTGGTATGACATCATATTAAAAAGCTTTTTCACAGCAAACAACAAAACAAAAATAACTACCAGCAGAGTAAAAAGACAACCCACATAATGGGAATAATTTTTTCCAATTATTTCTCAGACAAAAGACTAATATCTAGAATATGTAAAGAACTCAAAAAAAAAATCAGACTCTCCCTCCTTTTTTACCCAGTCCAAAATGGATATCTCAAATGAATAGACACTTTTCAAGTGAAGAAGTAGAAACAGTGAATAAATATTTGAAAAAATGTTCAACATCACTGGTCATTCAAGAAATGCATAAAACATTGAGATTCCATCTCACTCCAGAAAAAATGGCTATTACCAAGAAATCAATAACAAATGCTGGTGAGGCTGTAGGGGAAAAGGAACCCTTTCCCATTGCTTGTCGGGTGTAAATTGGAACAACTGGTATGGAAATGAGTATGGAGAGTTCTCAAAAAACTAAAATTAGAGGTTCCATTTGATATAGGTATTCCCCTTCTAGGTATCTACCCCAAAGAATTAAATGCATCACACCACAGTGATATATGCACACCCATGTTTATATCAGCACAACTTATAATAGCTAAATGTTGCAAACAGCCCATCAGTGGGTGAATGTGCCTAGCATGCATGAGACCCCGAGTTCAATCCACAGTACCAAAAAAACACAAAAGGCAGCAAAAGTACAGTACCCTGAGAAAGGAGATGGAAGAGAACATCAGAAAGTGGAAAAATGTCCCCTGCTCCTGTATAGGCAGAACCCATTTAGTGAAAATGGCCATACTCTCAAAATGACTATACATATCCAATGCAATCCCAATCAAAACAACAACAGAATACTTCACAGACCTAAAGGCAACAATCCTAACATTCATATGGAATCTGGAGTGATCCAGAATACCAAAAGCAATCTTGGGCAAAAAGAGGAAAGCAGGACACAACACAGTACCTGACTTCAAGTTATATTGCCAAACAGCAGT